CAGATCGCAAGGAAACGAGCTGAATTTTTCATAGCTTACAATTCCTCTTGAGCTCTCCTCAGACTGCCTCTGCAGTTCTGTTCCAGTCCCTGGACAAGTCTGTCTTGTTTATTGAAAGACAGAGAGGAAAATGGGGAAGTGAATATGAATTGTTCTAGTCTACCACTCAGGTAACTTGGGATCAAGGTGACCCGGTTGCTCATATTTTACTTCATGATTCATGCTGAGTAATCAGGGTCCTGTTTTTCCCTGACATTGACTCTCATGATCTCATTTATATTTGCTTTCCAGTGTTTTAGTCTTTGTCTCTGTAACTGGTGCGTGTTTTTCCTTATTTTCTTGATCTATAGAAATCTCAGAGTCCTGCACCCATCCCAGCTGTGTTTGACCTTTGTTCCTTGAAGGAGTCCTTTTCCCTGTGCTTAGCATCTCTTCACCACATTGGTAAGGGAAGGAATCTATCCCAGGACTATGGAGGTGGCTAAACACGGGGCACTCAACCCTGGGCACTTGTCAACAACACTTTATTATTCACATGTGTTTATCACCTGGGAGTAGAGAGCTCCTCAGCACAGCCACATGAAAGGTGCACTGAGTAACAGACTCAACAGCAGGAGATGTGGGCATGCAGCAGTCTTTGTAAGAACAGAAGCTTGAGAGCTCTCTGGGTGTAATGGACTTGTTTGAATAAAGGTGGCTGGAAGGGCACTGAAAACCACTATTCAGGGAGAAGCAGGAGCCTGTAGATTATGACTGATAGATTGTGTCAACTTGAGAAGTTTAACTGAGAGACTGAGCAGGGAGCCAGGATCCTTAACTTTGTAAATATCCTCATCCTATGCAAGAGGAGGGCACAGAGATTTTGTGAGTGCTACATCTGCCCTAGGGGGTGCATGGGGGCTGGGGATGGGGGTAGCAGTAGGGTATGGTAGGGGCAGGGGGATAGGAGGGTTAGGTGGTTTAGGGGACCTGGGGGAATGGGGAGTGGAGCTGTGTGTGGCCTGCGTACAATATAAGGGAGAAGAGGCATGTTCTTTTTTCCCCTTTTGCTCTGGCTGCTGCCTTAAAGTGTTTCCTGGTACACGCCACTCTGCCTTGGAGCCCTGTGGTTATGGACTAAAACCTCCACAAACAGCAAGCTAAATAAATCTTGCTTTCCTTCATTTTGAGTGTCCAGTATGGACAATACTGGACAATACTGTCCCAGTAATAAGAGAAAAGTAACCAAGACACTATATGAATGCCTAGATAAGAAGGGCTGTTCATATAGGGGACTTTAACTGCAGAAATGAGAACTTGCTCTTGGGCCATTTAGAGTCCTCCTGATTTTACCAAATGTCAAAGCACATATGATAATTGAACCTTACCTTAGACCTGAGTACCACGGGGTTTTTCTGTATTTCCTGTCTTGTTTGCATGTCTGTTTGCTTTGTCCTTTCCTTGCCTATTCCTGCACATATCCTCTGTCACTTATGACATTATGGGAAAGTCCATCCTCACTCCATTGTTATGTATCTTATTATTATAAGATAGTATAGCTGGTATCACTTCACCTGAGAAATGAAGTGTCTCAAATGGACAATGCTGGAGGCCTCAGTATTGTCCACTTGAGACATTTCATTTCTCAGGTGAAGCGATTGAGGCTGGGTGATACCCTGATCATGATCATGTAGCTGAGTATGAGCAGAAATAGCATTCTGAAAAGCATAACTGAGATGTTTTAAAAGTTTTTTCAGGGCTCAGGATGTAGCTCAGCAGTAGAGTGCACAAGGCCCTCAGTTAGATTCCTAACTATACCAAAAAAAAAAAAAAAAAAAAAAAGAGGTTGTCTATCAATAAATAGATTGATATCATATCTTAAAAAAGATACATTCTTGTGAGAAAACGTGTCCATACTTAATGAAAACTAAGAAATAAAGATATGTTAAAAGATTAATAGCTAAGTGAATAATGCTATACATTAGATAAATCATTAAAACTTCTTCAAATTCAAGATGGTGCCTGTGGTGACGTGAAAAACTAACTTTAGGATTGTCCTATTTCTTATATAAAATCACAGAAGCATTGTTTATTGGGATAATGACATGAAGTTCCAGTACTTCTGACTTGTTTCCCTTGTACTTTCCATGAGTAGAAGAGCATCCAGGCTGGCCTGTTTTCCTGAGTCTGGCCCCCAGTTTGCAATGTCAGGATACAGAGCAGTTTGGGAAATAGATGCTCTGTGGAGCTGGTGTTTTGGTGCTGTCTCCTCATTACCTTGGAAGATACTAGGCACCCTCCAAATGTCTACTGAATAGCAAATATATTAAGGAGTGATTTCCAGATAGGACTGTCTGTTACCAGTTTCTCTGTTATGCTAAGGATTTTAGAGTCCACCTAGGTCAGACAAGTACAGTGTCTCCTGCCCTTGCACACCTGACAGACACTGGCAGGTGGACAGCAATGATATTACTTTGTTTTCTTTCAAAATAAGACAAACAAGTTCCAATGACCTGCTCCACTGGTTTTACCTAGCGAGCTGTACCTCTGTATTCTTTGGAGCAATTCTAGTGAAAACCACATAGATTCCTAGTTGGGCACCACCCATTTCTCAGCAAAAGGTTGCTTACCTCTTGAAGCAAATTGGAGACATTGCAAGAAGTGTGTCCATTATGAGCTATGGATGATGTTTTAAATAAATGAGATAAATATTGTAATATATTGGTTTTCTTAGTAAAATGCAAATAGAAACATCAAAAGCAGAGGCTCTGTAGCTGTGGCTTTCTTGAAGTACAGTAATTCTGTTTAGAAACCGGAAAGAGGCTTAGGGAGGTCTCATTGGGAAATACCTGACACACACATTTTAAACTTTGGTGACTTACTGTTATGTTGCTACTAACAATAGTGGCAATATGAAATGTGGTCACAGTTGAGAACTAATGATTGAGAGTTTAATAAGCTTTGGATTTGCCTCAAAGCTTACGAACAGATCTCTGTTTCTGCAGGGCATTAAGGACAGGTGTAGTGGCCTCTCTCATGAGACTTATTGAGATTATTGATAGTGTCCATGAGCTTCTGGCAGCTCTTTGGTTGAAAGATATTTCTGCTCTGGATATGATGCTATTAAGATCAAATATACATCTATATGATTGACAGTGAGATGGTTTGCAGTTTCCATCCAAAAATCATAGAACGCCTGGGTCCTCATGAGCTGAAAAGGAACCCTAAATATCTGAAGAACTACAACTCTGACAGTAATATTAACCATAGATACATGTGTCTCACGAGAGACTCTACAGTGCCTGGCATCTACTCAGAGATGCTTTCTTCCTCCCCTCTTGTGAGTCACACTGAATTATGAAGCCACTGCAGTAGTCAAGGGGGAATGGAACAGAGCAGAAAGTTCCCAACCTTTTTGTGAGAGGTTCTGTGCTTTAGACTTAACAGGGTGCATAAAATGTGTGTTCATCGTGATGATAATTTCCTTTCCATTGAAAAATCTTTTTTTTCCCACCTGTCCTTTAGAAAAAAACCAACCCTACTAATTTCCTGGCACAGCTGCAGAGTGTATATGAAATACTTATTTATTTTAATTTCAAACACATTTTCATTTTTCCATCTGTAAACAAACCATAAAGGATCAGGGAACATATCATTTAAAGTTTTTTTTTCTTTTTGGTTTTGCTAATCATTGTGCATTTCTACAAATTTTTAAGATCATGAAGTGGATATATTTTTTTGCTAACATTGTAGTTCTGGGCCAGTTATAAGGGGGGGTAGAATAGAATGTTAGAGCTGGAAAAGATTTTGGTGACTAAGTCATTGCCCTTATTTTTGACAGGAGCCACTTGAAACTCAAGGAAGGGCTGAAATGAGAGCCCAGGGATTCTGGTTCCTTCTTGTCACAAGACACATTGCGCTGCTGCTTCTGTGGGGTGACGTGAGAGTACCCCGGAGCAGGAGGTCCTCTTCCCAAACATCTGCTCCACTGCATTGCCTAATCCAAGACGTTAAGAGGCGAATCCTCAATTCTCTGAGGGTTGCTTTAGATTTGTTTCGAGACAGGGTCTCTCTGTGTAGTTCATGCTGACCTTGAACTTGCTATATAGCTCAGGCTGGCCTTGGCTTTCTTATCCGCTTGCCTCATCCTCCTGAGTGCTGAGATTATATGAACTTTGAGGTTTAAGTTCTGTGTTGCAAATCTTTTGCTAAATCATAGTCCTGAGGAGAAATCCCGCCTTAATCAACTTCTTAGATATCTGTGAGCACCTCCCCAGAAATTTGTGAAATGTAACAGAGGATGTTCCTGATTTTTAAGGAATAGAAACAAATTAGGATGGAGAAAATGGGCACTAGTGTGGTTTGTACTTGACATTCACAGTTGTCTTTAATTTTCACAAGTAGGGATGGGGTTTTCACGGTTCAGAGGGGTTAAGTGCTTTGTGCAGGGTCTACACATATGTGTGGCAAAAAAGAGAGAAATATAAAAATGTCAAATATCTTTGGTGTCGGAAATCTTCCTTGTATTTTGCCTCCCATCGAAGATCAGACGAGTTTTTTTTCCTTTGAATTTTTGCTTGTTAAAAACTTAAGCAATATTCATGGGTTCCTATCCTAAATGAGTTCAATTAAAACCTCCAAAGAGTGTCTGTGCTTTGTTAGGACTTGAGGTGGTCTGACTTCGGTGACCTTGGTCTTTGTTAATGGAACCTTGGATTAACAACAAGCTGCGGCTACCCGGGAAAGGGTTATACTTTATGATTTCATTACCTACTTAATTTCATTCCTTCAGAGATGTGGGATGCATGTGTAAGTACTGAAAATTGCATGTTGCTCCACTAAATATATAAGTAAATTAATTGCCTCGTAAAAGGTCAGGGGTAGCCTTAAACATTATAAATTATGAGATTCAAGGAAATGAAATTCTTCCATTGAAATTCCACTGTTATTTCTCGTGTCGGAAACATGGAAGACCTTTTTAGTGTATAAGCATTTTCTCATTTCCCTTCCACCCATATTACCTGTCAATTTGTTGTATTTACATAGTATCTAGGGCTTTTTCTTCATTTTTCCAGGGGAATTGGGGTTCACCGTCATTACTGAAGAGCTTCAGTTAGTTCCATGTCTGTAAGGAAAGGGAAGCCTTCCTGGTTTCCATAAAACTACATGAATGAAAAAGAAAAAGAAAGTTTCTTAACCCAGTGTGTCACTGCATAGTCAGTAGACTTTAATTATATGCAAGGTCCTCAGCAGATACAAATTTGTAGGTGTTTGGAATCTACAATATCTTTAAACATACCATTTACATTGTTCTATCTGCATTGTATCATCAATTATTAATTTTCAGTCACAGTAATCTGTTCTTTTCCACTTTGTGTCTCATGCAGTAGGGTAAAAGCTAATTCTAGTTGTAGCTAATTCCTTGTCTGTGAGGACAGCAGAACAGATACGTTTTTCTTTTCCTTGTGTGTGCTTGCAAAAGAGATATTAAAATGAGGGGTGGGAAGAAAGGAGGTATGGAGAGAAGCTCCTTACTTTTGTTCTATCAGATTTAAAATGGATGCTTTATTCACATTTTGGACAGAGTTTTTATTCTTGAACAGAATTTAATTCCCTAGGAAATATACTGTTTGTCCTTAACTTAGATTACAAATATTTTGATGATGGGCACTGTGTGTTCCCGATATTACCTGGGATGTTTAAGGCATAGCCTCAAAAGTTTCAGATTTCTTTTTCACAGACTGGTTCATTTTGGTACCATCTCAGTGTGTTACTTTGGCTTTTCCAGGTGGTGTTCCAACATGTTCAGCAAGAGGTAGCAAGACTTGTGTCCTTCTGAAGTTCACGTTGAAACTTAATGTGAAGCACAGTAATATTTATGGGAGGAGCCTTTTGGAGGTGATGAGGCAGGATCCTCACGGATGACAGTGGTGTGCGTATAAAAAGGCTTGAGCAGGTTTTCTTTTGTGTCTCCAAAGGGGATGGCAGAGAGGGATGGTATCCATGCAGCTGAGAGCGAGGCTTCACCAACACTGCATCTGCCGCTACCTTGATCTTGGGCTTTTTGGCCACTGGAAGTCAGAGAAATACATTTCAATTGTTTATAAATTATCAGTGTAAGATATGTTGTATGGAGACCCAAATAGATTAAAACAGTGGGGTTAGAAGAGTAATGCACATATACATTGTTCTAGTGCAATTTAAAAGTAATTGATACATTGGCTCATGGGAGAAGTTTGAGAATCTCCTTGCTGTAGATTGAATGTTTGTGTCCCCGACAATTAATATGCCGTAACCCTAAAATTCATGTGTCGAAATGTGATCTGATTAGTAATTAGGATCTTGGGAGGTAAATAGGTCAGGAGTGCGGGGCCTTCGTGATTGAGATTGGTGCCCTTACAAGGAAAGACACAAGAAGCCCGTGTGGTGGTACATGCCTATAATCCTAGCATTTGAGAAAATGAAGTAACAGAATTGTGAATCTGGGGCATTCAAGGCCATCCTGGACTATAGTGCAGAATCCTATCTCAAAAAATATGAATAAATAGAGAAAAGGAAAGAAGAAAGGAAGGAAAAGAGAAAAAGATAGAAGAAAAGAAAAGCTTAATTTACATTCTACTTTCTGCCATGTGAGGGCACAGTAAAAAAGCCACCATTTGAAAGCTGAGAATGGGCCCTTACCAGATATCAGACCTGAAGTACCTTGATTTTGGATTTCTCAGCCTCAGAATAGTGCTAATTGCAAATAAGTAATGAGGGAGGATTCCCTTGCTATGAGTTTTAGTGGATCACGATTTCTTGGTACTTTTCTATGCAGGAGGAGTCTCTGAAAGCATACCAGGTATTGGATAAACAGAGCAAATGCTAGCTAATAGTTTCTGTGTCATTGGAGAAAAGATACAAATTTTTATGAGCATCCAGAGCCATTTTAGAGATGCATAACTTTAAAATACCATAAAATTTAAATTATTGACACCTTAATTTCCCAAATTATCTGATAAATAAGACATTGATAGTTCAACTTGCTGCAATCAAATTTATTTTTAGGGAGAGTTAAAGGATTCCAAAATAGAGGTTTCAAACAGGTGAACTGGCATCTTCAAAGATCCTGAAGCTACCTGGCACGTGTCCAGTATGTTATTTTTCTTAACCTTTGCTCTTTTTAGTGGAATTTCTTTTTTAAAGTTTTTTGTACCGAGAATCGAACTCAGGACCCTGCGCTTTCCAGATAGGTGCTTGGGCCACTGAGCTGTATCCCTGGACATACTACTGGAATTTTTTAGTGCATTTCATCCTGTGTTGTCTCAAGATTTTAGAGTGTAAGTATTATTTTCATAAACATATTTTGAAGTCTGAGATGAAATTTCTGGTTTCTCTTGCTGATGTACTTACCCAAGTTGTGTTTTCAAATGCACGTTTGCTTCGTGGTCACCTACTTGGGAACTTTAGTAAGGTGCATAAAGACAGGAAAATCTTTCTTTCTGGTCAGACCTGAAACCAGAGTCCTTTGTTTTGCATCTACTAAAGAAGGAATCACTTTGCAAATCTGTCACATACTCAGTCCTGCCTATTTAAGTTTGCACTGCGAGCTGTCTGAATACTGTTGGCAGTTCCTTTTCTCCTCTTTTATCCAGTTGAAATGTGGTAATTATTGCCAGTTTTGTTTTTCCTCCTAGTCCAGGACCTGCTCATTTTTCTGACTGTCCTGAGAATGTTTTTGGCTTGGCTCTCTCTTTGTGTCATGGACAGTCTGTTCCTGCAATTCTGTTTGATCAGGGTTAGACAATGCTGGCTGCAGTTCTGGGCATTACTAATTACACCTGCCAATACCTTGGGTGGAGGTCTTTAGGTTTTATGGGGGGCGATTAATGGCAATCTCTTTTTGAAAAAAATATGATTTCAGGAGTGAAGCTTTATTCCCAGGAGAAACACAAAATACATTTATTCATATTTCATAAAATTGGACACAGCTGATTCAGAACTGGCACTACTCTTTCACATTTATCACCCAGATGAACTGAAAAACAGTAGCTGCTGACTAATAATTATGTAATCTGGATCAGGAGAAAGCGTTGTTCACTTGTTTAGAAGAATAGTGAGTACTTTAGCAAACTAGTTCCTAAAATTAGACATCCTAGGGTTCGGAAGATGACTTCCACAGTTACCTTCTGTCCTGCGTGAGGACCATATTTCTTCATCTCTGAAAGGAGGTGGTTGGATGGGATGATCTCACATTTCTGAAATTCCATGATGCTATGTTGTAGGTTTCTCATTCCCAGGAAAAGTTCAAAATACATTTATTTGTATCTCATGAAATTGGATACAGCTGATTCAGAACCAGCAAATACCCTGCTTGATTCAGCACGGAGTCAGTTTTAGTGTCAGCCTCAGAAATACATTGAATATTTATTAGGAAATATCAGAAGAGTTGGTTTTGGGGCTGGGGATTTAGCTCAGCGGCATAAGCGCCTGCCTTGCAAGCAGGCAGTCATAGTTCAATCCCTGGTACCAATATAATGGAAAAAGACAAAAAAAAAAAAAAAAGAAGAAGTGTTGATTTCTAGCACTTTCCAGATGGTAAAATGCCAAACAATACCCAGGACGAGGAACATTCTGGGCCCCTGGAATTTCCAGTCTCCAGAACTGTAGAAATAAATGTTTGTTATGTAAAACACTCAAGCAATGATATTTTGTTATACCAACCCAAACTTCTTGGATGCTCTCTGAATACTCACTGTCTCACTGTATACAGATATGAATTTGTCATCTTTTGGACTGCCTCCATGTCCTTCTTACCTATGGCTTAACAGTATCCATTAATAATATTCATTTCTTTTTTCTTTTTTCTTTTCTTTTTTTTTTTTTTTTTTTTTGTCTTTTTCCTTTTTATCAGTACCGGGGATTGAACTCACAACTGTCTGCTTGCAAGGCAGGCACTTATGCCGCTCAGCTAAATCCCCAGCCCCTTTTTTCTTAACAATATCCACTAACTCTACAGTCGGTGACCTCTGCTTAGCGCTCTTCTCAGTTTCCTAACTACATGTGATGTTGTCCTCTTTGGTTCCAGAATCATGAGTTTTTTAGGCCATTTGCTGGATTGTTTTTCTTCCTCTGTCTCTGAAACAGTGAAGAAGAATCCCTACTTCTAGCTTTAAATCATTAGTTTTGTATGGGAGAAGAAAGAGGATCCTAAAATAGAGACTGGGGAAATTTTTAGCATCCACATGACCTACATTATTCTCAAGAGCAACCTGTGGATCCCAGCTGTAGGAAGAGAGAGATGTGTGTTTTGGGCCCTGTGTACATGTGCCGCCCTGGTGCAATAATGTCATCAAATAGTTATTCTATTGACTGTTTATAAGTGGGGGGTCTTATCTTTGCCTCTGGCACAAATAGGGGTTCACTTTTATTTCCACTTCAGACATAAACTGTCTCCTTTTGTCAAGTGGCATTTCAACTGTCCATCCTATCTTCTAAATGCCTGAAAGGATGTTAATGTCATAGAGATCTACAGCTGCCAAAGACTTCACCAAGAATCAGGAAGTGGGAACAAGTCTTCGTCAAATGATAACAAAAACACGTACCATGGATGTTCAGGCCAGACCAGAACCACTGTAGCCAGCCACCTGGGTCCTTATTTCTCACTTGTCTCTTAGGGAGACCAACTCTAGCTAGAGTGACACCAGACTATTTGTTTCCCGCATGTGGATATACCAAGTAAATGACAGTGGTTCTGTCCAATTCAAAGATGAGCAAGACACAGACCTTTTGTTTTTAGGTGAGCAGATGAGACAGACACGCATCTAACAAATGCATGAAGCACTTCCCAATAGCTAAGACACAAAATCTGCCTAGGTGCCATCAACAGATGAATAGGTAAGAAAATATGTCATATATGTATGTGTACAATGTAGTATTATCCAGCCATAAGAATGAATGTAATCTTTCATTTTTGCAACTAAGTAGATGGAATTGGAAGACATCATGTTAAGTGAAATAGCCAGACACTGTAAGACAAGTATTTCATGTCCTCTCTCATATGTGGAAACATATGAAAGATAGGAATTGACTTGAAAGTAAAATAGTGATTAGTGGGGCCTGGAAAGAGTGCTGTGTGAGGGAGGGAAGGAGGCCAAGTTGAGGAAGGGTAGATGGAAATGATCAGCGTGTGCATGGAAATATAAGAATACCATGCTGAACCCCCTTCCTGTGCACAATTAATATATGTCCTGACAAAATAACAAATATTTCAGGACAACTTGTTCTTCAGAGGATCTTTCAGATAGTCACAGGGCTCATCATGTGCCTACCTTCTGATGTTACTGGTTTTTCTTGGCTTGTACAGTTTATTTCTCTAATATCAGATTTTGTATTTGTTACTTGACACATGACGAGCACCATCTGACAGGTGTGCAAACACTCTTTAAACAGCCATTTGTTGAGAGACCTTGCACTAAGGCATGGTGCTTACCTTTGGATGGCTGGTGCAGGATGCTGGGGTAGAGGAGGAGGGCATTGCTACATAATTTTCCAAGGTGTTTTTCTCCAAACAACATGTCTTCTCATTTTTAAATGCTTTCTTTGCAGGAGGTGCGTGTTTAAAAAAATATTAACAGGCTTATATTGGTGACTCCTGATATTATTTAGGACATTGCTTTGTAGTTCCTAGGCTGAAAGCAGAATAGTATAAATATGATATCAATTATACAGTTGTGTAAAAGAAAAGGAGATATAAGTATTTTTGCCCTTTTCCACTAGTGTAAGATTTAATTTTACCCTTGTTTCTCCCATGCAATAAAATTGTTTACTCTTCATTTTTTAACAAAAGCTTTTTGTTAAATATTAAATAGAAAATGATAGTATGAGTGTACCATATACATGCTATATGGAATAAAATTTCAATAAACATCTGTATACTTGGAATGAAGATTAAGAAATACAAATTTCACGCTATCCCAAGTTTATCACTTTCTCTCTCCATTGAAAAGTTACTTGTCCCGAACTTTTTATTAATTCTAGCTTTTCCTTATACTCTTACAGCTTTCTGAAACAATATGTCATTGTTTTTGCATGTTTCTTAATGTAATAGTGACAGGATTACTATTGTATATACTCATTCTTTAAACATTTGAAAGCTTAACCGCCTTCAAGTGATTGTTCATGTGTAAAAGTTATGCATCCAAAATTCAGAGTCAAGTCTCCTTCCTATCTCTGCGAACACGAGTATCTGTTCTTCTCACCATTCTCCTTCTTTAAGACATGCCTTCTGTAGTCTTGTATTCATACCAGGAAGGATTTCTTCAGGGGAACATGGGCAGTGTGGACGTCTGCTTTGGAAGAAATTTTACCTTTTGCCCACAGGTGCAGGATCTGAGATTTCAGTTACATAAACGTGTGGATCACAGTAATTAAGCCATGAAGTATCTCTCTCCATTTTGAGTTGTTTTCTAGAAAAACAGGACAAACAGGAGAAAAATAGGTAAATCTCAATCCTTTTTTTACAGTCATATCTCACTTTCAGGCAGCCTTTGTAGCCTATATATCCTTCCTGCACTGAGCTACATCTTCATTAATTCATTCATTACTTTGATGCAGGGCTTCATTAAGTTGCCCAGGGTGGGGTTGAACTTGTGATCCTCCTGCCTCACCCTCCCAGAGTACTGGAATTTCAGTCTTTTTCTTTGAGATGGGGTGTTCTCACTTTTTTGCTCAGGCTGGTCTAAAACTCCTGGGATCAAGCGATCTTCCTGCCTGAGCCTTCCAAGTAATTACAGACAAGTGCCCCCAGCCAAAGTCTTGCCATTTTGGGGAGGAGTATTCCTGATTTTCTCTGCAGGAATTTCTGATTTTCACCCAATCCTCACCTCCACCTCATCACCACAGATACACACATTTTCTAAGAAAATACTACTATGCACCTGTATATGACAGTAGAAGCCATACTTGGACAGGCAGTCTTGCTCAAAAGGGAAGAATTTGCAGGCTTTCCATGCTGCCCCACTCAAAGGATCTCTTTTATATCATCATGTGCTATTATTTTTAGCTCCTAACACCTCTGTACCCATAAGAAAAAAATATTTCCTATACATTTGCATAGCTCATGGGCCTTCTAAAAACATGTTCTCTGAATATTGAGATGGTCTGCCTCCACAGAAAAATCAAGTGTTTACTTCTTGTAGTAGAAAATGTCTCTGCTCAATGCTCTAAAATGACAGGGTTTTGAGGTTCTTGGTATCTCATTACAAAGAAGTGACTGTCTTCATTCATTCCTAGCTATGTAGTGGGCATCTAAAACATGATATGGCTGAAACAGAACTCTTGATTTCCTCTGTCTCCCATCTTTCTCCAACCTCCCCAAACCCTATCCAGTTCCCTGAAGAACTACTGGTTGTTCAGGTGGTAAGAACTGATTGATCCCTTCTCACCACCCCTTTGCTTCCTCTTTCCAAGTCATGAGCTGTTGTCTTCCTGTCTCTGCACAAAGTCCATCTCAAATCTGTGCCCCTCCCCTCCTCTCATTGTATGATGTCATAATTCCTGGAGTGGTCCTCTCACTGGCCTCTGCTACCATTCTTGTATTGCCTAGAAGCCTGAGTGGTATTTTTAAGCTTCTTTGTTTTCTTATTTTATTTTTTTGCTACCAGGGATAGAACTCATGACCTAGCACTTGCCAGGCAGGCGCTCATGCCACTGAGCTAAATCCCCAGTCCCCTGAGTTGTATTTTTAAAGTGGAATTCTAATCATGTCATTGTTTTGCTAGAAATCAAACAGTGGCTTCCTGCCACACTTCAATGTCGAGACTCTTCCAAGGCCTACAAAATGCTGCACCAGGCAGGGAGAATCCTTGATTCATGGTGACTTCTTAGCTGTGGAGGGAGTAGAGGTGTCAGGATGCTTTATGAAATATCCAGCAAATTCAGGTGATTCTCAGGAACTCTGCTGCTTTAGTTCAAATGCGAGGAACAGGCTTCTGGATAAATCACCTGCTAGAGGATAAGGAAAGAAATCAAGGTTGGACTGGGGACTGAGCGAGAGGGGAATAGGCAAAAGAAAAAGGAGAATGAAAGAGAAGTGAGTATATTATAAATGTTCACAAAAGAAATTTCAAAAGACAAACATACCCTTACTTATAAGAAAAAATGGGTTAGATTGCTTCTAGGCTGCTCCTTGTCAGGTGGTAAGCATGTAAAGGAACGTGGCCAGAACAGTCTGTTAATGTGAGTGGACTAGGTATCAGATTGCTCCAGTGTCTTGAGTCTCTGGTAGTAAAGAGGGAGCGTAGGGATCCCACAATGGCTCATGCACACCTGTAAGCTGGCTTACAGTGGTTGCCTGTGGAACCATGGAATCAGAGGTGAAAGACTGCAGAATGGCTGCCTGCACACTGGAGAGAGAGCTGGAGGACTGTGTTTGAAGTCAAAGGCTTGGAGTCACTGCAGGGTCCACTCTGTTTGTATGGGAAAGCCAAAGGCTTTGCATTGAAAAGTTTTAAGAGTCTGTGCTGGAAACCCCAAGGAGCTCGAAGGCTCCTAAGGCAGTGGTGAAGACGAAGGCTCCTCTGAAGAAGCAAAAGGGCACACTTTTTGCTTCTTTCCCTTTTTATTCTATCCAGGCTGCAAGCCCATTGGTTGGTGCCAGTCACATGCTCAGTACTATGCTCCATTAATCCACTGCTTGTCTCTTAATCCGTTTAAGTTGACATCACAATTAACTATCAACACCTGCAAGATGATGAGAATTGTTTCGTTTTCTCTTTTCTTTTTCTTCAGTACTGAGTGAACCCAGACCTTTCCCACTGGGGTACATTCCAGCCTTGGTTTTATTTTTTTATTTTAAAACAGGATCTTACTAAGTTGCTAAGTTGTCCTGACTCAAAACTTGTGGTCCTCCTGCATCAGCCTCCCAGAGTGTTGAAATCACAGGCATCTGCCAACACATGTAGCAGAAAGAATCTCTAGAGGGCACCATAGGTGCTTTGTTAAGTAGCTCTAGTGAGTTTTTCATGGGGTCACCTAGCATTCCTGGGAGGCAGAAAGTGAGGGATACTGTAGCTTCTTTTGCAAGGAGCAGCTGAACAGAAGTTACTGTCTTGGCCTTTAGGCACTGAAGTCCATAGACTGGAGATGAATCAGAAAACAGATCTAAACAATTTACGCTTCAGTATTTATTGCCGAGGCATTGCTGATGGTGTTTATGGGAGAAAAAAAAGATGCCCCCTAGTTACAAGGCTAGTATTGGGGCCAGGGCCTGAGAAGACCTATTTATTTTATTAAAATTGTCCAATGGAAACTTCCTCTTCCGGTTGGGCAGAAAAGTATGTACTGAGCCTCCAAGTCTAGCTCTCTCCTGCCATAAAGAGAAACGGGTTCCTCCTGCAGAGGCCTTGAGGGTCATAATCCCACTATTTCAGGCTGAGTGGGTGGACAGAGGCTGTGCTCTTAATTAGCTCTGACCTGCTGGGAGGGCAAATGGGTCACCTCGGATGGAGATGCAATGGCAGCTGTCAGAAGGAACCCAAAGGCATTTTGATGTCAAGTTTTCCTGAGCCTGAGTTCTCAGGAGATTTCCAAACACCACAAGAAAGGGCTGGGAGATACAGCAGTGATTCCTCTTTAAAAGTTTGCTTTCAAAGAATAAATAGCATTTTACCTAGTTTTAACATTATAATTTAAAATGAGATTTAAAAACACTATAACGTTACGGTTAACGTTCTAGAGTGCTATAATTTCACAGTATTTTTAGTATTATGATTATATTCCTTATCATTTATATACACACTCAGACACAAACCTATGGACATACATTAGCAGACACATTTTTGTGGGGGTCTATTATTTTACATGATTATTATCTTCAAAATAGCAATCTTGGTTGAATCTAATAAAGTTTTGCTTTCTTGCAAGCAGTGTTTTTATATGCATGCCTGTTTATAATATCTGTGCCCATGTTTAAAGAACAAATCAGCTAGCTGCACCTGATCAGAAACACGTTAGTCCTGCTGAGGCATGGCATCCGTCTGTTGGCAGGTTTCCAAACTGCAGGACCAGCTCCTGGAGTTGCTCAGAGCCACGTAAGTCACGTTTCCTACTCTGCACTGTGTTCACCCAGGCACTTGCCCATGTCTGTGGCCTTTAGATGGCTCAGTTGTTTTGACCATGAGCCCCTTTCCTTCTGCAACACTTTAGTTTCCCACAGTAGTCATTTCACCTTTCTGGACTTCAGTTCAAACTCTGTGAAGTGATGAGATTGGATTGTTTGAGCTTCTGGGCCCTTAGAATTGTACTGCTCAAGCTGCAGGGAGGGAGCCTTGCTCATTATCCACTCAGTTTGCAGGAAACACTTCTAGCTTGAAAAAGTGACCTGAAGCCTTCACTTTCGACACACATGCTAAACTTGAGGCAGTGCAGACACTGAAGATGGTCTGATTCTTTGCATGCTTTCAGCCTCTCTGTTGTTGAAGCACAACAAATGAAGAATGAGCAGATGTGCAGCACAGTCCTCATTTCTAGAGTGCTGCCCCAACCCCTAGATGTTCTGATTCAGGAAGTCCCAGCTTAAGTCTGATCATTTGCATTTCTAATAAGTTCCTGTTGCTGCGCCTTGCTGCTAACTTTTGGGAATTGTTTATCTGGACTACCAGGAGATAGCTCATTTCTGGCAAGAGCATTGACAAAAAGCAATGGAATGTTTGGAGTACTACATGGCTCCTTTGTCTGGAGCATATATTACACAATGTATAGATAATGAGAAAACGAGTCACATTACAAAAGGCCATTAAAATAAGACTAAAGAGGTTGGACTTGATCCTGAAAAGGTGGTGGGAGAAGATGAGGTTGGATTTCAGGCAAGGGAGGGACATGACCAGAGGTAATTTACAAAGAACATTTTGTGTGCTGGGTGGAAGACATCCTGGCTGGGTTCCACAGTGAAAGCAATGGTGCCAACCATTAGAAGCAATGTCTGGAGTTGAGTAAGACAGGTGACGTGGAATCATTGTAGTGGCACCTACAGAAGGAATGTAAATATTATGTACTGCAAACATGTACCAAATTAAAAAAAAAAAAAAAGAAAACCAAGAAGACCCCAAAACAGGAAGGAGCCAAACAGATTGGCAGGAGGAAGAGAGAGGGAAGGGAAAGGGGTGACTAAAAAGATTTAAGATGTGCTATGTGCATGCACCAACTCCACACAAGGAATGTAAACATTATGTATTACACATATGTACTAGTTTTACAAAAAAAAAAAAAAAAAAGAAAGAAAAAAAAAAAAAAGAAAAAGGTTGAGAAGAGATGTGTAGCTCAGTGCTTAGCATGTGTAGTGCCCGAGGCTTAGTACTCAACTCCAAAAAGCAAACACAAATTACAGACAAAAACAAAAGAATCAGAGAGTTTGAAAAAAGCTGTTTGGAGATTTAGTGGCTAATTAGACATGGAAGTTTAAAAAGTATCTTGTAGCAAATGTCAAGAAATTAATCAGGGCCGGGGATGTAGCTCAGTGGCTTAAGCACAAGGTCCTCAGTTAGATTCTCGGTACCCCCTACCCCTAATCATCAGCCTGTTTAGTTTCTTTCTCTTTCCACCTTTAATATGTCCAGATATATACATGTATTTACTTTGTGAAATTTTTATTTTCTTTTTTTACATATAATCTCTTCCAAGGTCGTTCAATAGATTTAGTGGATTGAATTGAAGAAGGGGTTAGTGAAGTTGCCATAAAGAAAAATATTATTTCTCAAACTTCTTGGGGCAATTGTGTCTGTAATAAAGCTGTCACTGAGGTCTGTCTTCATGATACAGTTGGAGCTGGTTTCCAATAGGTCCTCCAGGTTTGGAGAGTGAAAGCCTGGGAAGATACAATATCTGTGTCCAGAAGTTGTAATCACTATGGCTTCTTTTTCTTTTGCTCTCTTCCTCCCCAAGTCTTTAAATCTGTGCACATATATGCACATACATTCATGTTCGTGCTGTGAGACTTTCCAAGTCTGTCCCTTCCTGTCCACCCCTACATCTGCATCTCTTTTCTCTCACAGCATCCGCCATGTTGCACTGTCATT